CCAGTTACCCAGTCATCATCTCTGCTGATTCGTGTTCTCCCCCTAGTTTGCTTAAGCGTCATTTAGATTCCTTTCAAAAGAGGTATCAACAGTCGTGGACTTTACGTTTTTAATTTTAACTATATGCGATGATAATTGTGTTATCTTTCTATTGTTAAAAAAGGCAGTAAAAAATTACTAGATGAGCATTAAACGTGAAAAGATGAACCATTTTTTTGAATTTAAAAACATCAAATTCAATTATTTTAGTATAAATCATCAAAACTTTGGTTCATGAGAGGTAAAGTACAATCAAACAAGGGAAAACAAGACTCGAAGCAGACGAAAAGTAGCACAGCTTAAATCTACTATCTCTAGGAGCTATATCCACTCAAACTAAGCAGGTTGGGCTTTGGAAATATGCTTAAGTTGAGCGATGCAAGAATTAAGAACGTCTTTTTCCATTTGTGGAGTCACGCTTTGGTGAATTCGTTTCATCACCCAGTTAATAAGATGCTCTTGTTGAGTGCGGCGCTTGACGGCCTCATGCATGACCATATAATCCTAAAGTTGAAAATAAATCAAGTATAAAATTTTATTAATGTTATATGACCATATAAAAACGTTACTTACCAGCTGTTGCTTAACAGTCCTATGGACCTGCACAAGCCGTTCTCGATAGATTGATTCTTGTTGTAATTGTAAATTCTCTTTTTTCGCTTCTGAAATCTTTGGGACCATACTATTGCTATGTATTCCATCGTCAGCTGTCTTGATTGTGTTCATGAGATTCGCCTTCATCACTTTAATAGGACCATAATAGTGCTTCTCTGCTAATGGCTAAAAATGACGATAAGTATATGAACGAATTATATGATAATGGATGGTATTACTTACATCAATTTGGTCATCTAACCACTTATGCACTCTAGGGGAATATTTATTATAAAGGTAATATATGGCGATTCCTCGAATAATGGCGAGACCAAATTCTCCATTCATGACTAACAACTCCTTGCTTAGTAAGGCCAAAGTGGGAACGGCAAGAAAAATGTATGGGCCTGAACAATAATTTATTGTTAACAATACCTGTTGCGCCAGTTTTGTTGTAAAACGCATCGAACCAAGATTTGCGGAAAAACCAGCGCATCTCTGGCTGTTTAGGCGGAATTTTGTCGGGAAAATTGACTAAATCACGGTCCTTTCCATAATATATATCTTTTGCTTTACTCCATCGGTTTACAGTACTATCTGCGTACTCGCAATACGCTTTTGAAAACTCTTCTGCTTCTGAAATCGACGACTTAATGACGGCAATGTTTTTATCGGCTGCGCTAGATGCTCTAACCGATGAGACTTGAAAATTCCCCTTCAGAATGCAACACAATGTCTTGCTATTTACTATAATGATAAACTAAAAATCTACAAAGGACATTACGAGACGAAAGAAGGCGGCGGCAAATCATAGCCAGCGAAACCAGCGGATGGAGCGCGCCCACACTGCTCTGCTCGTTAGTTAACTTAGTCAAAATAGTGGTTGCCTTGCTGAGTATGACAAGCCTATCCAGCCATAAATTAATATAAAAATTATAAATTAGTTATTTAGTAAAATCGTTAATAGGTTGTACAAATTTAGATTGCAGGTATAAAGATCAAAATGATGTGACCTGTTTGGACGCAATCTCCTTTAGCTTTATAGTGTTTGTTTGAACTCATCTTCTCAACTTGGTCAGAGCTTTAAGGAAAAATTGTGAAAAGTACTTAGTTCTGCGTCCACTTTCTGAATCAGTCCATTTACTTGGCACACTCTCAGACGCTTAAGGGATATCTTTGTAGGCATCGAGTATGGGCAGGATAACGGTAACGTATAAAAGAAGAGGAGTAATAGTAAAATAAGCCTTTTATAAATGCATTAATAAATGATAATATGGGTCTTTGAGACAGAATTTCGCTTTAGTTCTGCCAATTTTATATTTATTCACCAGAGATTTAATAAACGTTTAACGATCTAAATTAAATTTATTTATTATCAATACGCTTAAGTTATTAAGCCTTCCGGATCAAATTTTGTTTATGAAATAAGTATTTTTTGGGACTATCAGTAATGCTTATATAAATGCTTAGTTATCTAAGGTCTTTTAAGGTGAGTTATTGTCTGGCAGTTGAGTTTTACAATAATAAGGCAATGCCAAAAGACTA